ATGTTTTCCTTAGGGTAAATTTTGAATGTTTTTTTGGTGTATATTCAATTTTATTTTTTCCAGGTGGCTACCCACTAAACCTAATCTATTGTATAATTCATATTGTCCAGCACCAATTTAAGATGTCACCTTTACCATACAGTAAATTTTATATATTTTCAGAATTTCTATTGTTTCACTGAACTGTGTGTAAATTCTTTTGATAGTGGTATACTACATTTTATTATGGGCCTATAAGATATTTTAATAAGTCGTAATGACTTGTCTCCATTTTTTTCTGGAATTTTCCTGGTACCTACCTTTCAGGTAATTTTTAAATATCAGCTTGTGAGATTATGTTAAACTTATAAAGAAAGCTGACTTCTTTATTGTTTACTCTTCTAATGGAAGAATGTACTATGCTTTGTTCAAGCACTCATTATTTATCTGTATTTTAAAGGTTTTAATGGAGCTCTTGCATGTTTCTTATATTTGTTAGATATTTTGTTTTCTTTTGGTAGCCATTATAACTGAGTATATCTTGCATTAAGTATAATTGTCATTATTTGTATATATAAAAGACATTTTATATAAAAAAGGCATTTTAAATACATACCCAGCCAATTTTTTGAAGTTGCTTAAGGTCTGTAATAGTTTTTCAGTTTATTATCTTGAAATTTCTGGATATACAATTATCTCTACAAATAGTAGTAATTTTACCTTCTCTTTTCCAATTTTTTAAAAAATTCAACATATTATTAATAGTAATAAATATGTTGTTAAAGGGATAAACCTAATTTTTAAGAACATAAATATAGTTGATTTAACCTTATTTTGAAATACATTTCAGTTACTTTATTATTTTAAAGGGACTAAAACAAAATCGAACAGAACAAAGCAGATCAGAGTAAAACAATGCAAATAACCCAGGATTTCAGAACAAGACAATAGGAGATCAACAGTGGCAACCATAATGTTTCTTGTTTTCTTCGAAATGGTTGTCCATATTTTCATACACAATAAGGCAATACAAAATAGTATAAAAGCAATCAAAAAAGAATGAGAGCCTTACGGGTGGGTCTTCATCCTTTCCAGTTTTTAAAAACATTTGTTTCTTTGCAGTACTGGGGACTTAACCCAGGGAGCATAGAGCTATGTCCCTACTGCTCTTATTTTGGAAGGATCCCCCCAATTTGCCTAAATTAGCCTAAAAGTTGCTATTTTTCTGCCTCAACCTCTGAAGTAATGATAAAGAGTTGTAGCCACTGTGCCCAGATCTTGGTCTGTATTTTTGTGGTTTATCTGTTCTCAGATTTTTTCAGTTGGATGTTGATTTTTCTCATGAGCACTATTTTAGTTTTATACCAGAGCTCACCATGTACAGATTTTTTTACAGTGATTTACTAGATACTCTGAAATTCCCAGTAGATTTATTTAAGTCAAACATCTTTATCCCCCTCTTTTCTTGATCCTATTATGTAATTCTTTTAGTCACATTTCATGAGATTTTCTACATTAATTCTAGTTTTCAAACTTGATTGACAATAGTTTTTCTTTGTAGATTAATGCAGTCACCTTCTGAAAATTCACATTTAAGTTTGACAGTATCAAGGAAAATTTGAAGAAATAGTTATAATTTATGCACAGTAGAAACCAGTACACATTAGTTTCATTTAAAAAAGGCAAGAGGGGGAGTGCTTTTGCAGTTTGGAAACCATGTATTTTATTTTCCTTGGTGAACTGTAGACTACCTGGCAGCAAGCAAAGAAGTCAGCTGAGGCATTCTGACTTACGCACACAGATGGGTCAACAAAGAACGCAGTTTCAAGTAGTCGAAGGCCTCTTCAGAAGACAGTTTTGCCACTGACATAGTGACAGACTGTTTCTGGATGCTGTACGTGTCAGCATACTTTGTTATCTTCCATCTTGTGCCAGGTCTGCCCTTATTTCTTCACAATTTCTTGATGTTGATTTGATCTATCAAAATAACATGTTAAGATTTTTATAGCCTTCATTTCTCAATTACTGATCTATCTATCAGAGATGAATTAATTTACTTCATTTTAATACTTCTTTTGTCTCCTATAGTTTTTGCTTAATATTCCGTCAAGTCACTTTATCTGCAGCTATTCGTAACTGTTCATCTTTATTGTGCACTATAATCTTTGGCACTATAGTGTACTTTTTGTCATTTTTAATACATATTGGCCTAAATTCAACCTTGTGTGTTATTAGGATCTTGATCCTCTGGCCCTGAATCAAGGCCGGCAGCTTTCTGATGCTGTTGGCTTCAAACAGGAGCCTAAAGAGATGTCTTTCTATGGTCTGTTGGCCATTTTAGAACTGGGTAGTGAAATGGTCAACTCATTAGAAACAGCTTGAAGCAAACCCTCCCCACTGTGAGCTCCTGTGAGCGTGGCAGGCTACAGGACAGGAGCCACCGGTGTTTACTGGGACACAAGCCATGCTGGGACCAGGAGTAACCCCTCCCCTTCTGTCTGTTTTGTTTTGTTGAACTTCAAAATACATGATAGTATGGTCAGCTATTTTGAAAAGAATGAGAGACTCTACGACAGCCATTAGTGACTTCCCTATCGTCTGGTTTTGAAGACCTAAAAATGCCTTCCTCATTATGTTCAGATCATTTTATATGAATTCTCTGTATGTGAAGACATGGACAACTATTTGGAAGAAAACAAGAGACAATATGATAAATAGTGAAGATCTCAGGTCATCTAGCTTTGAAATTTATCTCTTACATTGCTTTCTTATGTTCTATTACGTTGTATTTAATTTTACCGCCTTCAAAATAAAAAAAATCTTGATCCTTGCTTTTGAGTTGTTCTTAGCTCTTTTATCTTTAATTCTGAATAATACAATTTAAAACTGAAGTCAGACAGTATAGAGTCTCACTGTGATTCCAAATTTTTTTTCTCTTAATAGTTTAATTTGCCTATTTGTATTCATTGATGCTTGGCCTTAGTTGTCACATTCTATTAAATTTTCAGTACTGATACGTTTAAAAATGTGTTACTACATTGATAATATTTTATAGAATGGGAAAAAAATCAAAATATATCATGTACAGGTACAAATTCCCTTTAATAAATGTGATCATTATGTATACCAAAAATGTACCAATAGGCTATTTAGAAAAACTTAGGAAGATTTGTACCTTTATTTCCATATATATGCCTTTCTAATATCCTAATTGTGTAATACATGTAATTTACTTTTATAAGTAATATGCAATATATAGGTATTTCCTTTTCTGAGTCCATCACCTGATTATCAATTGTTATCTTTGTTAGTGTTTGTACTGTTAAATATCCATACACTTCCATGATTTGACTTAGTAGTGGTACAAAAACCTTCCTGAATCCCATCTCTTCTCCCTACAGTGCATACAATTAGAGCATGATTGCTAAAATCATCTGTATCACATTGCAAGTCTTAAGGAGTGTGAGGGGTATGTTTCTAACTCCTACAAAATCTGCCTTCTCTAATGGCTTTCAAAATTCTAAGTCCTTTCTAAAATTAAGTTTGCTTAAAAATGAACATATTCCACTAGTGGAACACTGCAAAACAAGACACTGAGATTTCTTTTGAGTAATTGATAAGATTCATGAGTAGAGGAAAACTTTTGCATATAGGTTGCATACCAAGGCAGGGGGTCATGGACCTTAGACTCAACTCCTTCAATTAGGGTGACAGTGTTTGCCTTACCTTGCAGGCAGGATTCTGGGAATAAAGATAAAGAGTGGGGGAGGGGACAGGAGTGCAGTATCCACAGAGATCCGTCCTTAGAGAACTTGAGTCTAGTCTTCATGCTGTCAGCTGACTGCACTTGTGTATGTGCATGCTTTTAATTCAAGGCATTTAAAAGTGGATGTTGAGCTCCAGATCATTCCATCAGGTGGAATTGCTCCCAGTGTCCTAATTACATTTATCACACAAGATATAAGTAAGGTCCTTGAGGCCAAGAGACCAAGGTTTTTACAATGCAGTGGATTAAGTTATCAGCTTACCAGGTGAGGTGTATTAGTTTTTTATTACTGCGAATACATACTCAAAACCTGCAATTTAAATGAAAAGGTCTAGTTTTTTGGACTCACAGTTTTACCCCACAGTTCGCTGACTCCAAGGCAGAAACATTATGGCAGAAGGGTGTGGCAGAGGAATAGCAGAGGCCATTTTCAAGGCATCCCAAAGGCAGACAGCAGAGGAAGAGCCAAGGAGGAAGGGGTCAGGGGCCAGATACTCTAAGATCACAACTCCTTAGCCCACTTCCTCCAAAGGACTTAGCTCTCTCTGTCCAGTCACCTCTACAGGAGTCTGTTAATCCAGTGAAACTGACAATCAAGTTTAACTGGCACACAGAGTTCAAAATCACCTCAGTTTTACTTGCCCTTTCCTAAAATTCTATTTTCTTTTCCCTAGTTGTTCTTTTACTTAAACTTGCCCTGAAGAATACTCTATATTAACTCTCTTGAGGGCACAAAGCAAGTGATAATACTTATAAGGAAAATTTTTAAAAATTTAAAATTTAAAAAAAATTTAAAAATTTTTAGATGTACACATTCATAACATACTTGTACAAACCTGCTAAATTTTATCCTTTAAAGCAGATTCCATCTAAGGTTTACATTGAATTAAATAGCAAATATTTATACTTCAGTAAACAGATTATTCTCTATTGCCTGTTCCCTCACATTCTTGATCATTTTGTATCCCTTTCTCTGAGATCAGATTTTCGCGTTTTCTCAAGTTTTTAATTATTTAACAATAGAACTTGCAATTGCTAACTTCAATGAATTTTAAGTTAGCAAGGCAACAGTACTGTCCAAAATATTTTTGTAGGTGTCAATGCTAAGATTAGAATATACAAAGGGACAAATATGTATTTCTATCTCCAATACCTCTTAGTAAATACAATTATGATCCCAAGACTGACTTATATCATGGGGCTTAACGAACCTACAGATTATAGGTCTGTATTTAAAATAAAACCACAAAGGCCATTTTAGTGAAAACTAGTTTTATTTTAAAATTGAGTGCATAGCACTCATCTAATTCCATTGGTGTAGACTTTAGCACCATACTATTTGCAATTAATGTTATCACACAGATACATTTTGGTTTGCAGTCTGTACTTGAGTAGTGTTTTTTTAAGTGGACTTTGGTTAAGCCCTTATACATATTAATCTCTTCACAGTACACATTTAGTCATGGTCCGGTAATCTCAAAAGAAAAATTGACTAATCAATAAATTAAACAAAACCCACACAGCTTCCCTCCCCAAAAGCTAACAGTTATGAATTGTATTTATATTGAAATCTATTGTTTTAAAAATGGTTCTGGTTCTACACCCACCCAACCACATCACGGGTATGCAGCAACTGTAATCAATTATTTTATTCTACCCCTCCCCAAAGATTAATCCAGTGTTCTTTAGCTTTTTTTAAAAAATATAAATTGGGAAAGCGTTAGTAGGCTTTTTAAAAGGCATTATTTTTCTACAACAAGAATGACATATAAACCAATCAATAAAAGCATTTGACAAGACATTAAATTACCACAGGCACTGGTTGTTGGTTCAAGTTAGGATCTCCATCCCAGTATCTTACATTCATAACATTACTGAGGTAGTTAAAACACTGAAAATTGGACTTCAGGTTACCGGGTTCTATATGAATGTGAAAGGTGTATTATTTTTTATAACCTACTTTCCCTCCAAATAATTCAAGTTTTCTTATGGTAAGAACTATTAAAAACCAATTAGCAGCCCTTTAAAAGAGGAAAAGAGATGATGCTTTCAGAAAACAATTTTCATGCTTGAAAACTGTCATAAGTAGGTGTTCTTACCTGAGTGGTTTTTATTTTATTTACCAGACTATTAAATACACCTCATGCCCTATGTACTCCACGTAGATATAAAGTTATTTTCCTTTTAAGAAAGGACATTTCTCTAAGAACTTATGCTGGCAGAAGCCACCCCACCCATTCATCCACTAGAGCTGTTGGCATCAGTCCATTACTGTATTGAGTCCCTTACCTTCTTAACAAAGACAACTGGCTTGATTACTGAGACTCCTGCTGCATACCCACATCTTTAAAATAAAGTCTGTGTTCAATGCATACTGTGGTGGTCACCTATCTGCCATGCAGATTCTTTTCTATTCAAGTGCTATCTTTAAAAAAACACAAACAAAATACACACCTTACTAATTTTTAAACCAGAAAGCTTCCCTCCACCAAATCTCTCCCCTCCTAGAGAAGAGCACAATGTATAACTTATCTGTTACAACCTGTTTTCCTTTGTAATTCCATAATATTTTACTGCTAACTTGCTCTTGCTGGAATGACTATTATTGCTGCTCTCTTTCAATACCAGTACAGGGAAATGGAGTCAATCTAAAGAAAGTGACTACTGAAATTTAGTAACCAGCACCCTGCCTGCTTGGACTGACTAGCTGGATTCCAAAGCTGCTTATAATACCTGTCTTCCATATACAAAGTGCTGCACTAGCACAACCTGAGTATCACCCTGGCCACCCTCCGCTCCAAAACCAACCTATGGGACTGACGCTTACAGATATGTCTTCTCTTGAAAAAAACTTTTTAAAGGGTAGTATCAAATCTGAGTATAAATCATTGATTGCACTGAGAAATGCAATACCTATTCACTTCACTTTGTGCTACAACATTATCTTCTCATTTGAAAACACATCCTTGCAGGAGTATTTAAACCTGTCCTAAAGGTAGTTCACACTGTAACATTCCCAAAGCATGTTGAATTACAGTTAAGTGTAGTTAAGTGTTTCCAAGTAGTACAAATTCCCTGAGTTAAATGCGTTTTAATTCTAAGGATTTAAGGTAATCATTTAGGGGGAAAAAAAAAAGCAAATAAAAAAACTCAAAAATTATGACCACGATTTCAAGATATGACATCTATTCCACCCCTAATTTTAGTACATAAATCCAGATACCTATTATCTATGATTGGAAATTACATAATTTGAAAAAAAAAAACTGCACAGTTGGTATAACACAATAACTTAAGTAGGAAATTCATCTGTTGCTCAAAAGTAAAACTAAAATTGAATAAAAAAAGGATCTCTTCAAAACTTAATACTGTAACTTTCCTTCATAAAAGATAGTTTGGCAAGTCCACAGATAAACATTTGTCTCTGACACATAAGCAAACACAAGGCCCAGAGCCTACCACAGGTCAAATTTCAAAGTGGCAAGTTGGAATCTGTCCCAAATTTTTTGTTGAATGAGTATTTTTGAGATATTTGGAACATCAGCCAGGCTTGAACATTTTTGTTGGACAGCAATTGGTTGCAACAGGATTTGACACACACTGTTAGTTCTCCTAGATATTCATGGACATTGAACGGATATTCAGTCTTCCTGGTGCTGGGTGCCTGAAGAGTTCTGACGGTACTTTGATCTCTTTTCTTCTGAAGACAAGATAAACTAAGAGGATGCCCCAGGCCTTCATGCCACAAAATAGTCTGGGTCAGTTTTTGGCTTCATACACAATCACCTTTCAAAGCATGGAGTAATACAAGGGTAATGTTCATTTATCTGGTAACTCCGGTTGTAAGAAACACTCAGACAGGGCTTAACTTCTACTGGTATCGCCAGGGACATCCCAACCCCAGTCTGCATGTGCCCAAGGCCCTGAACACTAGTTTGGAAGCCAGCAGGACATGTCTGTAGTGTGTAAGATGAGGTGTGTGTGGTAGACCCAATCTGCTGGCAGCTGGGTTGCTCTGTTACAGAATGGCGGTACTGCAGTGAGGTCTGCTGAGTCTGATGGAGATACTGAGGCTGCTGAAAGTGAACTGGCCGTGAGGGCTGGGAGGCTGTCTGGAACACACCTATTTGTGCTGACTGAGGGCCTGACTGTCCTCTCTGTTTGTTTGCTTCTTTTACATCATTGTCATGAGCACTGAAATATGAAAGAACAGAAACAACATTAATAGAAAAAATCTGTCAGAATATTCCAGTCCCACTTCTTTAACAACTTACTCCATAATATTCCTTAGGTGTTTCTAACCTTTTACCAGGTTCGAAGACGTGTCGTAAGTGTGGCTGCCACTTCAGAAATACCTAGGCAGTTCTTGAAATTCAAAGATACAGAAATGGGAACAGGGCAAGATTTGCCTGGACTGATCTTATTATGGACCTACAGACATACATGAACAATTCTTTTCTCTGTCAAGTACTGTACCTGGAATCATACTAGGAATGGCAACTTCTAAGTTGTTAACAGCTGAAGGGATCTTCTCTCTACAAAGTACTGCTCATACATTGGCCTGTTCATAGCAGCAAGCAGCTAACAAGCAAATATCCTAAAAGTGCTATACCTTTTATAAGTGGTTTTTGGTGTACCTTACACATGAAGAAACATGTTAATGAGAAATAAACACAAGAACAAAAGGGCTTACATCAATAGTCGTTCAATACACTGCACTAAGAAATCCCACGAATAAGCAGTAAGACGATGCAGTCTAGTAGGCCACGTTGGAGAAAGTCGAAGTATAATCCTCGAAGAAGCCACACATGCAGCTGCTACTAAAGAAGGTGCATAATTTAGAAAGGCATAATCTGTGGAGACACCAAAAGTGAACCTAAGCAACAGCTCAAACAACTCACAAGCACACAAGTCACTTACAGGTGTTCACATCAACTCACCTTGTAGAGATACTTCCAGGAAGTAATCTGCGTATTTGGCCATGTAGAGTTTAGTTTTTTCCAAACAAATCATTGGCCAGCCATCATGAAGATCTGTCTCATGTACTGCTTCAGAGAGATAATACTCAATGAAATGGGCAGCTGTTGGGAGGCAGAGGTTCCACTGAAAGGTTTCTAATAGTAATAGTTCCATATGCAGCAAATTCTGTTTTGTTAACACTAGATTCATATTAGTCATACAACCCAGGCTGTTGAGCTGCTCCAGCTTAGGCACACTATCTTCTTTTTCTTCAAATTTACCTTATAAGAAAAGGGGAAGTGATGGAAAAGATCGTGAGCCAGTGATCATTATACCTCTAGTTAAATGGGACTGTCCGTCTTACTATCAGGATTTAGATACATGAATATTCCTTTTCCTATCTTACTGAGAAAGAATTGTGCCAGAACTCACTTCTGTTATAATATCTGGATATGCTTTCTTTCCCAGTACCAACTGTCCCCTGCTTTTCCCCATCGTCTGAAAATATGCTTGGAACATGTAAGCATTTTGATTTGTGTCCTAAAGTATTAAAGTAAGTCATCTATGCCAACAATGAAATAGCTCTGTCAAATCTCACCAGTTAATTCAGAAAGTTTTGTTTGTGTGGGCAGAGTTGATGAAAGAAAAGTATTTTAGAGTAGAAGACAGATTATAGAATTTCATGTAACAATTTTACCTAAAATAAAAATAAGCTTCAAGTGTTTCATATTTTCAGCATAATTTCAGAAAAAAGAGAAATAGGGGGGGATGGGTGAATACTGTAACCACGCATTATAATTCTATACAAAACTCCATCTTTATCTTTGGAATTCAAGACAAAAATCTACTTAAATCTGAAAGAGGGAGAGAGGCTGATTTTTCTAAATCCTCTTTTAAATTCCTTTAATCAAAGCTGATTAGGAGCAAACACCACTTGATTTCATTATCTGAAAGCATTTCTTTTCAGAAAATAGTCTACAAAATTTTAGTTATACAGAGGAAGAGTAAGATTTTCTCCTCTGTCTCAGCGAAAATGTAATATACATTAACTTACACTTGAACCACCGAATAAGTATTTTATTACATATAAAACATGTGTTTTAGCTATTTGTAGAACTTATAGCTTAAGAAAACTACCAAGTTGTCAATTACTATGACATTGGATTTTCCAGATACAGCAACAGAACAGGGCTATCTTCAAGTCTTAAGTCTTAATTCACAGTGGTTCATGCAAGAACAGAAATTAGAATGGAAGCTTCTACCTGCCAGTACTATGTTCTACTTCACTATTTAAAACATTCAACACAATTACAGATTTCTCAAAGCAGATTTGACCCTTACCCTTGCTTATAACTATAGAATGTTACTTTAAAAGTACACTGGAAACCAGAAGTTTCCCGTTAAGTTTCTCTTCTAAAAGACAGGGGCTTGCACCACACTTTAAAGTTGCTACAGCAAATAAATGACACAAAGCAAGGTCACTCATTGCAGACTCTCACTGTGTTGGCAATGGTGTCACTGCCAGTGGGGCTCTGTTCCTCCCTTGATGGTGGAGAATATGTACTGTTACCTGCCTTGGTCTTTGTATAAAGAGCAGAAGAACTGGGATAGAACGCTTTGTCTTTGATGCCAGAAGGTTCTGTGTCTGTCCAAAGAAAAACCTAAATTTAAAAGATAGGGATGTCTTCCTGCTCCACAGACTCTGAATGTCTTCAGATTTAAGCAACTCTTGCAATAAATAATATTGAAAATAGGAGATGGTCCAAAATTTACATATTAAGATGTTAGACTTCAGATATTGGATTTTAAATCTAGATTGTCCTGCCCAGTTCAGACCACCTAAACATTAATTCACAAGTTTGACCAATAGCATATAGTAAGTATAGCTGAAAATATTAAAGCAGTGTTTATGACATAGATAGCTAGCATCATCAATGAATAGAGGAAAACCATTATTCTCAGTAAAATAGTCAAATTTTTAGAAGAATGATCTAGGAAATAGTTTAGGCCCTCTGGACGAATCATCATGACTTTGAAGGCACCCTGGTATTTGTGTAGCAGCAACAATACTGGCAGTGAACTTCAAAAGAATACTGTAAAAATTATTGAGTTTATTTATGTCACTTTTGAAGTTTCTTTGAAGAAACTAACATCACAATTCACCATAATTCAAGGATGATTCATATTATCTTCTTGTGACTTTCAACATTAAAAATAAAATTGTACATGACTAATTTCACAGCTCAAAAAACCAATGTAGTGAGCCTGGCCAATTTATTTAAGGTCATATAAGTTCAATCAAACCAAAAATGAAAGCCAAAAGGAAGACATATGTTTGAATTCCTAAATCTGTCTTTCTAAACCAAAGTACTACACCAGATTATATGGGAACAACTATAAGAATGAGAGACTTCTGTATCTTCATCTATGTCATAAGTATCCAACTAGTATAATAAATGTGAGACTTTGCATACTGATTTGCAAAGTTAAAATTAACCTACACACTGCATAAATAACCATACAAGACTCTAACACAGGTTTAAATTTTTAATATTCTTTCATGATGTATAGTGATATATTCAGCTATGTGGATATTAAAGAATATCAAAAAGTTTGTGTGCTTCCACAGCTATAGTTTTTGTTATGCTACATGCTGTATGTGATTTTTAACTTACTTATTCATAAAGCTACCCACAGGTCATTAAATCAGTTTCTTCAATTGAAAGGAAATTCTGAAAGCCATGTGATTATATTGATAAAGTCCCAGACAGGAAATAAGGGCACAGGAAATTCCTATTAGCTTCCCAGAAAATAAAGAATTAGAGGCCACAGAAACAAAAACCCATGTTGTCTTTCCTTTAGAGGAAATGTTCAGATTAGCAATGGAAATCAGGACATGTTCAAACCCAGCAGTGAACAGCAGATATGTGGTAGGGAAAATCTGAATACTGAGTAGGTCATGGATCTGATGTCACATCGTGAATGCTGCCAACCCACATTCAATTTTTTCATAACTAAGAGGGAAAGAAATCCTTAACACTAAGAATCCTCACAAATTTGTAAGACCACAGTCTAATTGCAATATACATAGAGAACACGAAAAGGTAACTCAGAAAAAAAATTCTGTACTCATTAAAAATTAAGATGTGATTCAAACTTAATTGCGAGTTACAATTGTTCACATAACAGTATAGTAAAAAACTCTGTTAACAAGGTAGGAGGATTGGTGAACAAGGAGATACAGGCATTTGTTACCACTGAAAGTACGTGAGTTTTCACTTTTGGCTTTACTCAATTGTAAGACCATTCATCAGTTAGTTAAGACCCTGAACAAATTATCAGAAGTTCCATCTCCAAGACTGGTCCTAAACTCAAATTTAATGCTGGGCATGAAGTCAAGGAAGGCCAGATCACATATGAATGAGTCAAAATATACGAGTTTTCCTGGACAAGCCTGGGCGCATTTTAGAATAAGCCAGAACCTATGGGATAGGGAGCATGGCAGTGGAGTTAATCCTTACAATGAGTTTTCAGTGTTTTAATCTCTAAATAACTTTAAACACATCATCCCATTTGATCCTTGCAACTTCATGTGGCAAGGCTCTTTATTTCCACTTCACAGACAAATAACCTGAGACTCAAGGGTTGCTGAAATTTGCATTGTTGATGATTCAAAGCCCAGAAAAATCTATCACTATAGTTCCTGCTCTAAAACACTACATACAGCTCTCTAATCAGAGATGGTATAGGCCCTTTCTTCATACCTCTAATAGTGTAGGTAACAGGCAGCTGGGTAATAATTCTTGGAAATTACAAGTTGTGCCATGTCTTTAGCCAAAGTACTAGGCGCTTTAAGCTGCTCTTCACTTTCACACTCTACCATATCTATCCCAAAGCAGGGAGGAGCAGGCTGAGGGTCAAAACAGAGTTCAATCCTTCTGTGAGGCGAGCAATAGGATCTGAGTGTTTATGATACCTAATTGGAAAGCTGCCCTTGGTATCTAAACATGAGATGATAAAAACGTAAGAAACATTAAGAATGAATTCCACAAATTTAAAACAAATATCAGACACTGAAAACAAGCTAACAGTTTATACAGCTTTTTGCTGTCACTATAGATTCAGGGAAGGAGAGACTGCTGTAGGCTAAAGACAGCGTGTTAGATTCTCAACTCTACTGTCACACTGTAGACTCCAACTCTTTTGACCATTGCTTATTTGGGAGGTGTTGGGTCTCTGAAGGGTATCTCACACACATTCCAACTGTCCCACAGAAAAGAATAACGTAAAAGCAAATCTTTTCTTTCAGGAAAAAGTGTGTCAAGAGTGTCAATAGAGAGCCAGGGATTTAGCTCAGCAGCACAAGTGCCTGACTGGCAAGTGCAAAGTTGTGAGTTCGATCCCTGGTACAAAAAAAACAAAGTGTGTCAGTAGAACAAAGAGAGGAGGTGTTCAGCTCTTTCAGTAATAAGTGGTAACACATGTATGAATTGCAGCAAATAGGTCTAAAGCCTCATTGCTAGAAAACAAGCTTTAACATCTATATATTACTATACAGATTTAACTAAACAATCTTCAATAAAATAAATGGATCATGACCATAAGTGGTAACATATAAGTTAAAGAGAAGAACAATCGAGCACATCCATTCCAGGCAATCGATGGTAGTGTAAAAGATAAAAGTATACTTGGTCCAACCTGTGGAGACTCTAGAATTTAACTCCAATGTCAAACAGTACACAGTGGCCAACAGTCTTAATAACCAATCATAGTCTTTAGCAAACTTTAATAGTGACATGTCATTTGTGAGTATCTATGTTTAGTAGTCCCTAACTCATTTGGTATGTACTAGTAAACTTGGGTCACAAATACAAATCAGGATATGAACTGACTATGCACCCCTGCATTATTTTACAGTCCAACAAAATGGGTCTCCCCCTTGGCCACACATTTTAAGAACCACAAGCAGAATGGGTGGGACTTGGTAGTGATAAAATGACAAGGACAGTCACAGCAGGCAAAAAAATTACTTGCCAATAATGATCTCAAATTTCAAAAATAACATAACTTATACCTCCGTTTTTCAGTGTGTATTTGTGGGTTCTCATACATATGACCTATCAAGTAGTACAGTCTTTGTAATCTTACAAAAACTAGTAAACCTTGAAAAGCTTCAAGGCAAGAATGACTTACGAACATGAAAGTTATTAGATATAAGTAGCATCACGCCCTCAGGATGTGAGAACCAAAAATATTGACAAATGTGAAATTATTAACAAATTATTGGCAAAATACTGATGTACTGACAAGTGTCCCCTGTGGCACAAAGCTGATCCTGGTTTTAAAACATTAATTTAAAATGAAGATTCCAATTCGAAAGATACATCAGAATAACTGGTGGGTCTTTTAAAAAGTTAGATAATACCCAAGTTCCAAATGTAGATTCTGAATCAGTATACCTGTGATGACCTACATTATGTATTTCTATTAGAATTTTTAGCACTATGACTTACATACAAGTTTTTAAAAAACTCCTGAGTCACTTCTTAATGCTCGGTTAACAGCATGCTTAATTAACAAGCAACGCCTGATTAATGCTTGATTACTGCGCCAAGAAGCACTTTGAAAATACTCTTCCCAATACTGATAAACTGGAATGAATGGGATTTGGTAATAATTCACTGAGTTACATGTAAATCTATTGTATTATATGAACAATGAAAATTTCTAGCCTTAGAGATCAGATTCATACTTACTTGCTAAAAGCAGACAGGAAAGTGCAACTAAATGCAGTTGCTGGATAGAGATGTCATAGCGATCCATAAACAAGTCCAGTAAATAGACAGCAAGATGTCTGGCAGAAGGGCAGAGTGTGAAGCGATTGCTCACAATGGCAATCAAGTCAGCAAAATACCTTCTGAGACTTAGTTGAGGGGACTGGCCTTTGTAGGAGGGCAACTTCAGCTCCTAAAGCAAGAGGAACAACATTTAATCTGATAATTTGATATAATCTGGTAAAATATCCCCATAATACTTAACACTGTCTTTACAAGTGCTCAAAACAGACTTGAATGACACAGAATTGAAAAAGCCAAGTGGGAAGATAAAACCAAGTAGATATTTTAAAATTAATGTAAAACAAAAATGCTCTTTTTTTTTTTTTTTTTTTTTATCGGTACCAGGGATCGAACTCACGACCACCTGCTTGCAAGGCAGGTACTTATGCCGCTGAGCTAAATCCCCAGCCCCAAAAATGCTCTTTTTCTTTACCACCTCTGATGGGACCAATTATAAAGTTCTGGCTTCATGCAATGGATATATTCTATAAAGATTTATAATAAGAGAATTCTGTTCTCCCCACTATGCATTTTCAGAAAAATGCCCCTATCAAAACCCAACAAATACATACACACACACACACACAGACATACACCCCTCTAGCAAGCTCAAAGCTTTTGGTTAGATGGTAATAAGATTAAATACATATGGTCAGGGTATGTTGCCTCCTATATTTATACCTGCAGGGATATGGAGATCAGCATTCATCTATTAGTATCTTCTAATCTTATTTCCCTTTTAGCAATTTTATGATCTTTCCTTAGTCATCATCTTCCATATACCTAAATATTTCCCCATGATCTTAAAATCTGTATTATATGAACTCATTTTTTTAAAAAAATATTTAAGAACAATGCTAACCTTGGAGAGGGCTGGGGATTTAGCTCAGTGGCATAAGCGCCTGCTTTGCAAGTGTGTAGTCATGAGTTCGATCCTCAGTGCCAAAAAATAAATAAATGAATAAAATAAAATTTGAGTTTATTACCAGAAGACTTCAGAACATAAAGATGGAAAGCTTCCACTTTACCTTCCAAGATAAGAGTGGCATAATACTGAAATTAACCCTAACAATACCAAGAAACAGCATGGATAAACTAGCAAAAGCACAGGGGAAAAAAAAAGGATAAATTGTGTTTTTTCACACTTCTGTGTTTCAAAGGACTCTACCAACAGAGCAAAAAGGCAGCATACAGAATGGGAGAAAATATGTGCAAATAACATATTTGATAAGTTAATATCTAAATTATATAAAGAATTACAACTCAGTAATAATAAAGTAAACTGACTTACAAATGGGCAAAGGACTTAACAGATATTTTTCCAAAGAAAATATACATTGACCAACGAGCACATAAAGATGCTCAAACTATTAATTATTCAGGAAATGCAAATCAAAATCACTATGATATAGCTTCAGACTCATTCAGATTGCTACTATTGAAAAAACAAAACGAAACAAAACCAATACAAATGTTGGCAAGGATGTAAGAAACTGGACCCTTATACATTACTAGTGGGAATATAAAATCATGTAGTGGTTGAACATAATCGTATGAGTATTTCAAAAAATTAAACATAGGCCAGAGATTTAGCTCAGTGGTATAAGTGCCTGCTTGACAAACGTGAGGTTATGAGTTCGATCCCTGACACCCCCCCCCCAAAAAAAACAAATTAAATATAGAATTACCAAGTGATCCATCAATTCAAAAGAACTGTAAGAAACCAAATAGATATCTGTACAACCATGTTCATAACATCATTCATTACTCACAATAACCGAAAAGTGAAAGGCCAAATGCCTATCAATAGACTGAGTAAACAAAATACAGCATATGTATACAATGAAATACTGTTCAGCCTTAGAAAGAAAACTATAATGATATGTACCGCATGGATAAATCTGAAAGAGTGTGTGTGGAGTAAACTGCATACAAAATTACTGTATGACTCCTTACATGAAGTACTTTTAACAGTCACATTGACAGGGACAGTGAATAGAACAGTGGTTACTAGAAGAAGGAGTGAGAGACTGGAAAGTTACTCTTTAGTGGGCACTGTTTCAGTTTGGGAAGATGAAGTTATCCCAAACAGCATGTAAAATAAAGGTGACCCTGAGAGAAATAAGAAAAAGTATACATATCTCTTTGATGAAAGAATGGTGGAAGGAGGTAAAAAGTCCTTAAACGTAACAGCCAGCATCTCACTTGGAGGTGAAATAGCAGGATGACTATTCCAGTGCCCACTGAACAGGTCTAATAATTATTCTGTAATTACTCAGTAAATACTAATCAATTCAAATAGGAAAAAAGTGAAAGGATAGTTACTGGAAAGAAAAACAATCAAAAGTCATGTTCGGGAGCAACATATTTTTTTATATGATAAAATTTATATCCAGAAAAATCCATAAAAACTAACAGAATAAAAAGAAACAGTAAAAGTTTTGGAGAATGGTTGGGTATAAAGTAAGTATTTCAAAATAGCTTTTTGGCATAGTAATAACCAATCAGAAAATAGAATATTTCATATTCTATAATAACTATAAAAATGAAAACACTGAGAAATAATTTATATATACAACAGCATCACATGAAAATAAATCTCATGTTCTGTGAAAGACTTATATACATAGAAGTTCTATTTTAAAAAAAAAGTAGTTCTATTTTCTTGGATGAATAATGATGACAATGGCATTTAGGAAATGGGGAATATAGAAACATTTAATAAATATTTTTGTCACATATGACTGAAGTTCATAGGAAAAACAACAGTTCACAGGAAATACACAAATGGGCCAAAAACAAAAACATGCCTCATCTCATTCAAATTTAAAACATTGTTCATTTCACCAACACTCACATTCTACTGATAAGATAAACAACTGATAAAATCTTTCAGAGGTTAATAGGGTAACAGATATATTTGTTTAAAGGCCCATATCTTTGAACTTAGCAACCTTAGGAACAAGAATCTGCCTTACATTGAAGGGATCCTTTGTAGCTGTAAGTACAATAGTAGAATGAATATAATTTTATGAATCTCTGAAGAAATATATGGAGTTAAAAAGAATAAATTTCAAAAGATCACATACTATATAACTTGATTTTACTGAAATAAAATTATAGAAGGGGGAACACATGAGTAGTTGCCAGGGTTAAGGAGCAACATAAGAGTGGGAGGGAAGACAGTGCAGCTTTTTGTAACAGGACATGAGATGCTTGTGATGACAGGGAATGATCTATACACTGTATAAATGCACAACGCGTGATCTAAAAATACAGTAACCATTTAAATTCAAAAGCTTATCACAGTAAAGACATTACCACCATCCCCCTCAAAATACTCTGTATCATTTTGAACACATTTTTCTCATCACTGTTTCTGAAGCAGTTTTGGAAATTCTCTTTTGTGGTCCTGTTATGGTTACATCAATGTTTTGAATTGATTCAAATGTTTACCTTTCATGGCCATTTTGACTTTGGGGAAGATCCAAGAAGTTTCATGGTACTGGATCCAGAGTAAGGTAGGTGAGGAGTGTGCACTGCCCTTTTTTTGTAATCCCACCTTTCTGCTGAGTGGCACGACAGCAGCATTCACTATTATTTTTAATTACACTTTGCAAAGACATGAAAGAACTGCTTCAGGAAATGGCAAGGATGGGCCAAGTGTCCTCAAATGGAAGGGAGAGTTGTTTTGGGGGGGATTAATGGCAGTGTGTCATTAACTATGATTTTTTAAACATTCGCTGTATATTTTGATCACGAGAATATCCTGGTTGTAACAGTAAAGTGCTTACCTCAGAGAAAAGTGAGTAAAAGGTTTCATGAGATTGCTCTGTATCATTTCTCACAAGTGCATGTGAATTCACAATGATTTTTAAAAGTTTTAATTTTTAAAGAAAGATCTGTGCCGAGAGAACATGGCGGACAGATAGCAGCAGCTGTGGAGGCTCTCTGAAAGAACCAGCTTGGAATTCAGGAATGGTGCGGAGTAAGGAGTCGTGAGCAGGTGGAGACATGCCCTGCTGACCCAAGAACGAACTGGGCTGAGAGAAACCAACTTGGAGTGCAATCCTGGTGCTATAACAGGAACAGAAAAGCCTCAGTGTGGAAGCTGGAGCCCGCGGCATTGGAAGCCATGATTTGGGTTTGACGCCGCGCGCGGCGGCTGCGTCTACATCTGCTCGGCAGGGAGAGAGACGCGTGGAAGCTCTGAGAACGGGAATCGGTGAACGGAGTTGAAAACAGGATGGGCGGGGAGCTGTGCATTGACTTGCAGTGAGGTGAGTGAGAGAAACTGACACTCTTCCCACGGTTTGGGAGACTCCAACAGAGGACATTCTGGGACTGGGCAGACTTGCGGGAGCAGGGTGCTGCAGCGACTTCAGCCACGTATCCCCCTCTCAAGTGGGATTGGTGAGAAGTACCTAGCCTACGTGACGCTGCTGGCTGAGACCCAGTAGGCTAGCATAACCCAGATCCCAGAGCCTGAGGGTGATCTGGAGGGGCGGGCCCTGCATAGGCTGCCTGATCTGCAACTTCCTGGTGTGCTGCGGTGGGCGGGAACACCTAGCCAGCGCAATTCAATCAGACTGTGGCTGACAGGAAAGGAAGCTGGGCCTCCTATATACACTTGCATATATAAGGAACAAAGAATATGGGAAGAGGGAGCAACAAGTAAGGCCCTTCGGCCCCCAATCCTGAGAAACAGGCAATAGCGGACACCGCACCAATAGACATAAAGCGCCATCTAGAGAGCCTCTAAATCAGTTCAGGAATGAAGTTATTAATGACCTGAAGCTAGAAATAAGCAGAATAGTTAGAGAAATGCTAAGCACCACCCAAGAAAAAACAGATGGTGGAATGGAAGATCAGAAAAAGAGGGGAGAATTGTTTGATGGAGAAAATAGAGAAAGCATAGAATATGTGAAGCAGGTTCAAAGAGACTACCAGGAAACTAAAAATTATCGAAAACTGGCATAACAGCCTGAAAGAAACTAAGGACAGACTATCTGAACTGGAGGGCAGATTTGTAATATGGGAAAATGAAATGAAAAACTTCTTAAAAGTAACAAAGAAACAAACAGCAATAATACAAAGACTACAAGATGATCTAAGAGGATCCATAACTTA